CATGTAATTATGGAAGGGACTGGTTTGCTAGACTGCTTTGAATTGTCGTAGTCACAAAGAGACTAACATGGCGGTTATGTATCTAACTGCTGCCTTTTGATAAACTCCGTAACGTTCATCCTGTATTCTCAACAACTCTTCAATCTTTACAAAGAACAACGTGCAGCTTTGCAGTGGCTCCTTCACCACCTCTGTTCACCCAATGTTTTTTTCTAAGAAGCATCTCTAATCTCCCTTCCTCCCTCCTCTCTTCCTTAACCCTCAGGGGTCTCCCAGTCCAGTGCTGAAGAAGGAATATAAACCAACATTTACAATAAAGGGCCTATAGCGATAGGACGGAGGAAGGTGCAGCACACATGTGGGATACCTGGGCATGAGCGAGTCAGGAAAAGCTTCCTAGAAGAGGCAAATGTTTGTCCTCAGACCTGAAATGAGAAGGTGTTAGCTGGGTGGGGTGGGGGTGAAGAAGGAACTTGGGGTTTCCTAGCACAGGAAATAATAAGGCCAAAGGCAAGGAGGCATACAACAGATGAATTAATAGATAAAATGTGAATTCGGCCAATTGCAGATAGTTGGACTGGCTTCTAACCTTTCTTGCCTTACTTTCATTTCTCTAGCTTTTAGCATCAATCTCTAGAAAGCATAATTCTTTTTAAAGCCCTTTGTTATTTTCCCTACTTCTAGGCACTTTCCNCCCGCGGCTGCCCTGCGCCTGCGCAGACCTGGCGGCCCGTTTTCAAGGCGCGCGCGGGCTTATTACGTCATCACAGGGAGTCGGCGAAGTCGAATCTACCCAGCGGGCCGTTGGGAAAGGCGCCTGTAGCGTAGGGAGGGGTGTGAGCCGGCAGACGCCGAGGCTGCCGAGTAGGAAGGTCCCTGAAAGTTAAAGCTAAACTCCGTTATCCTTCCTAAACCTACTGGAACTCATTGTGGTTTAGAGAGATTGGGGGCGGGGGGGAAGTGCAGTCATGGAATAATATTAATAGTAGTAGTATAATATATTATCTATTACCTGTCACCAATATTTTAAGGCATTTTGACATGCGTTGTCACTTTTGGTCGTCATAGCAACTCGGGGGACCAGTTTTATCATTTTTTTCTAACAAATTAAGTAACAGAGTTAGAGGTTAAGTAACTTGCGTAACGTATCCGACTCACTCGTGCCCATGTTAAAAAAAA